TGTCACCCAGGCTGGAATGCAGTGGCATGTTGCTCATGGCCACCACTGCGTGGACCTGCTGGGCTCTGGTGATCCTTCCACCTCAGGCTTCCAAGTAGCTGGAACCACAGGCATGCCCCACCACATTCGGCAAATTTTTAAATTTTTGTTGTAGAGACAAGGTCTCACCATGTTGCTCAGGCTGATGTCAAGCTCCTGAGCTCAAGCAATCCTCTCACCTCCACCTCCCAAGGTGCTGAGATTGTAGATGTGAACCACCATGCCTGGTGCAACCTTGATTTTCAAATACTTACCTTAAATATGTGAATTTGGATTCTTAGAATGTTTCTGAACTAGTAGAATCTGTAAGAAGAGTTTCTTGGGCCGCCCCTTCGGGTCCCCTCCCAGTGTGGGAGCTTTTCTGTCCTCTCAATAAATCCTGCTTCCAGGACAGGCTCGGTGGCTCAGCCTGTAACCCCACACCTTTGGGAGGCTGAGGTGAGTGGATTGCCTGATCCCGTGGGTTTGAGACCCACCTGGGAAACTTGGTGAGACCTCATCTCTACAATAAATAAATAAATAAATAAATTAGCTGGGAGTGGTAGCGCATGCCTGTAGTTCCAGCTACTTGGAAGGCTGAGGCAGAAGGATCACCAGAGCCCAGCAGGTTGTGGCTGCGTTGGCCTGGAGTGTGCCACTGCACTCCAGTCTGGGTGACAGAGTGAGACTCCAACTCAAAAAAAAAAAAACCTACTTCCAAAAAAAAAAGAAAAATTTCTTTTTCTTTGTCTAGCATATTTAAAATATTAATGTTCACTTTCTTTTCTTGGGACTTAAAAAATGTTTGGTATATAAGTACTGATTTACTCTATAAAACCAATGAGATCAGAGGTCCTCTAAGAGACATTATAATCTAATTTTTAAGTGTTTTCTAAAGCTAGGAAAACATTTCATAGTAACATAACAAGAGGTGAAGGTCTTTATGAATCACAGGACACATATACACCTCTAGCTTTACTTCTACAGCTTTTCAGCCGTGGATCAAAAGAAACACAGAATCTCAAAACCTTGCCAGATTTCTCCTTTATAGCACTCTTTCTGTACCTGTGTAAAAAAAAGAAAAAAAGAAAGAAATTGGCTGGGCTCAGTGGCTCAGCCTGTAATCCCAGCACTTTAGGAGACCAAGATGAGTGGATTGCCTGAGCCTGCAAGGTTTGAGATCAGCCCGGGCAATTTGGCAAGACCTCGTCTCTACAATAAATAAAAAATTAACTGAGCGCAGTAGCGTGCACCTGTAATTCCAGCTACTTGGAAGGCTGAGGTAGAAGGATTGCCAGAGCCCAGCAGGTTGACACTAGGGTGGCTGTGAGTATGCTACTGCACTCCAGCATGGACGACAGAGTGAGACTTCAACTAAACAAAAAAAAATTATTAATTGAATTGCATGTGACATAGAAATGGACAAAAAGCTGGGCTCAGTGGCTCAGCCTGTAATCCCATGCCTTTGGGAGGCTGAGGTGAGTGGATTGCCTGAACCTACGGGTTCGAGACCCACCAGGGCGACGAGACCTCATCTCTGCAATAAATTAAAAAATCAGCCGGGCGTGGTAGCGCACGCCTGTAATTTTGGCTACTTGGAAGGCTGAGGCGGAAGGATTGCCGGAGCCCAGCAGCTCGAGGCTGCGGTGGCCAGGAGCGGCCACTGCACTCCAGTCTGGGTGACAGAGTGAGACTCCAACTCAAAAAAAAAAAAAAGAAAGAAAAGAAATGGACAAAAAGAAAAGTCTGACAAACTGAATTTTTTTAATTTCTTGCTTAACAAATAATAGATATTTATCACTCTTCTACAGAGACCATCAAATAGACCATAAAACCAAATTCTCAATCAGTGCTATCATCAGTGAGGAGTAACTTATCAATCATGCAAAAACCAGAAACAAAGAAAAGATCAGCAAGAGAAAAAAAATTGAGAGAACCAGCAAGTCAGCAAAATTAAAGTTCTGTTGCCATTTGGGGTTTACTTCAATAGCCAAGAAGGGTCATAACTAGGCTAAAACAGCCAGTGAGGAGGTATACTTTTCTGGCAACTGTTTACTTCATTCTGTCAGTTGACGTCTTGAGGTAACCTCTAAAACTGTTAAAGGACTAAAAAAAAAAAAGATAATTTATGACTGTCATATAAGTATACAGTGAACATTTCTCATATACAAGGTCTGCTTTAGGCCCAAGCAACTCTCCAAGAGAGCTGTCATCCATGTGGCTACTCAGTCAGTCAAGGGAGTTTTTACCTATAGCATCTTGTTTCAACACATGCTTTAGTAGTCTCAGTGGCAGGGAGAGAATGAAAGAGCCACACATTAACAATTAAATGCTTTGACTTAAGTGACACACTCACTTCCTTTCTTTTACAACCCATTGGTCAAAATTAGTCACATGACCATGCCTGACTACAAGGGGAATTGGGAAATTTAATCTTCCATGTGTGTCCCGGAAGGGAAGGAGCACAGAAAATGTTTATGAGTGCTAGCAATTATCCTTAGAATTATAGAATTGAAACAAACCTTGCCGGGTGCAGTGGCTCATGCCTGAGCTCAGGGGTTCGAGACCAGCCTGGGCAACTTGGCAAGACCTCGTCTCTTCAATAAATCAAAAAATTAGCCAGGTATGGTGACACATGCCTGTAGTTCCAGCTATTTAGAAGGCTGAGGTGGAAGGATCATCTGAGTCCAACAAGTCGAGACTGTGGTGGCCATGAGCGTGCCACTGCACTCCAACCTGGGCAATAGAGTGAGACTCCAACTCAAAAAAAAAAAAAAGAATTGTAACAAACCTTAATCTTACAAAAGATTAAATCTTGTACCTGCCTGGGGAAGAATACACAATCCCCAACATTCAGCTCTATAATTGTGAAGAAAGTAGTAACTTACTAGATTTTATGTTAGGCTGAACACAATCCAGTAGCACAGTGCATATTTAAAAACCCTTGTCAAAAGAAGATATTATGATTTTTGAGAGAAGGGGAGAATTATAGAATTCTTCAAATTGAAGCCATAAGATCTGTTGATGTTGAAATAACAGAAAATACTTTTTTTTTTTTTTGAGTTGGAATCTCACTCAATCGCCCAGACTGGAGTGCAGTGGCCGCTCCTGGCCACCGCAGCCTCGACCTGCTGGGCTCCATCGACCCTTCCACCTCAGCCTTCCAAGTAGCTGGAACTACAGGCGCGCGCACCACACCCGACTGATTTTTGTTTTATTGTGGAGATGAGGTCTTGCCAAGTTGCCCAGGCGGGTCTCGAACCTGCAGGCTCAGGCAATCCACTCACCTCAGCCTCCCAAAGCGCAGGATTACAGGTTGAGCCACCGAGAGCCTGGCTTATGTTATTATCTTAAAAGAAGATATTGAAAATGCTAATAGATAGAATTAACTAAACAGCAGCTAATGTTGATGCTAGCAGTGCAGGATTGGGTTTGTTTTTTGTTTTGTTTTTTTTAAGAAACATTTACTCAGCTGAAACTTTCCCATCTAATTTTTAAGCAAGGAAAAAACTTTTATGTCATAAAATTCTTTATTAATTTATTCTAGAACATCAGAGTCACAATTCTGTGCCTCTAGAGTTAGAAGAGGAATTTCTGGAGCAATGATTTTAGCCCAGCTTTCATTCAAGGTGCTTCAGATTCCATTTACAGAGGCGTCATCTAATTTAAATGAAAAAATATTGCACAAATCTGGTGAATGCTGATAGAAAGACCTTCTTTGACCTCTCAGTACCGTGCTGGCCTGAGCTTTCAGCCCCATACTTAACAAGAGGTACAGAAATTATCACAGCCCATAGAAAGACTGTAGTATACTATATTAAATTGTCTTTATGTCTGATTCCTTTCTGCATATTAGCCTCAGAGAAATATTACTAAGTATTATACTTTATACATGCCACATGATATTTTATAATTATTAAAATTCCTCTTATAAGCCGGGCTCGGTGGCTCAGCCTGTAATCCCGCATCTTGAGAGGCTGAGGTGAGTGAACTGTCTGAGCCTGCGGGTTTGAGACCCATCTGGGCAACTTGGCAAGACTTCATCTCCACAATAAAACAAAAATCAGTCGGGTGTGGTACGCGCGCCTGTAGTTCCAGCTACTTGGAAGGCTGAGCGGAAGATCGCCGGAGCCCAGCAGGTCAAGGCTGTGGTGGCCGGGAACAGCCACTGCACTCCAGTCTGGACGACAGAGTGAGATCGCAACTCAAAAAAAAAAATATTCCTCTTATATATTTTCTTCACAGCTTTTACAAATGAATGAGTAAAGTTCAGATCTGATAGCTTACCTAAATTGCAAAGTGACTTTTTCAGGATAGGAGCAGTGTGTCATACACTGTCATGGGCATTCAGTAACTAGTATGTGATGATACAGGGGCTGAACCTGGGCTTATGACTGTGGAGTTTTAATCTGTTGCTTTGATTTCAGAGAGTTCCAGTGCTTTTCATTCAGATGTGTTTTTTCCTTTGTCCATAGTAATTAAGATTTTGGAGTCTCATGCTCACTTTCTTTTTTCTAGTTCAGTTTTCTTACTCTTGCACAATTTTCATTTTAAGTGATTTTGTGAACCTAAAATGAAAAATAAGAGAAGAAACATTAGGAAAGCATGGAAATCTGTTTGGGCAATCTTCTGATTCTTTATTAAAGCATGGATAGGTTGCTTTTTCTTTGTATTTATTGAACCAGGTTACCTAAGCAGTATTATTTTATTGAGAATATTTTTAATCTTCCTGTAAATTGTTCTTTCAACCTTATTTGATTTAAATGAGAAGACAAATGTGAATGTTGAATTAATGCCCAGTAGCTTTAAATCCAGTTTAATGCTTTTGTCTTTTATAAAAGATGCCCACAGCTGGAGAAGAGAAGCAAATACACTCTGTTATCTCCATTCTCAGAGTCAAACTATTCATTTGCATTAGCAGCTCTAGCAAACTTCGTACACACACACACACACAAACACGCACGCGCGCACACACACACACGGATACTTGTTTGGCAGAAGCTTTCTGTTTATTCAGCACAGAGTCTTCCTAGACTCCCAGATGTAAAAAGCTCTAAGAGTTGATGCAAGAGACAGAACCGGAACTGTATATAGGCTGAGGTGTGCAGTGCGGAGAATTGGCTATGCAGGGATATTGATTTGGTGTGGCTGTACCTGCCTGTTTTGTGAAAGGCATTTCTCTGAGACTGTGAAGGTGAGAAGCCCAGGGATCCACTAGAAACTTCCTCACAGCTGGCTCTTTGGTGGGGGAATGCATTTCCAGTGGTAGCTGTCCTCATTTACAGCGTTATTCTCGGAAACCAAGTATGTGCAGCAGTGACAGACTATGCCACAGCTCCCCTGCAGTTTGGAAGCTGGAACAAATGGAAACAGCTTATAGCCAAGAGAGGTTGTGACTTGTTTTTACGATCCAAGCTTGGTCTGGCAGTGCACAAAGGAAGGATGAGCTTTGTGGCAAGCAAAATCAGCAGACTGCCTGACAAGGGGTTTTGGTAAGATAAATGTCTTATTGTGATTTTTTTTCTTATTTTTTTTACTTTTCTATATCAGCTACATAGAATTGCTTCTTAGCAATTAGTGAAACATTTTGCAGAATCATGTATGGATGACCAAGGGAATCAGAAGGGTAAACAGACATCCTTTCTAATCATTCAGTTGTGACCTTCAGAAGTAATCAAGTGTTCTCAGATATCCACGAATAGACACAAGCCAGGAATTTCCAGAGCAAAGAATGCTGACTACCAATTAGACCTCTTTTTCTTTCTTTGCATAGTCATAATTACCTCCCCACCCCCCTTTTCTCTGCTTTCCTCATGGCCTAAAGTAGAGAAGGAAAAATAAAGCCTTCTTCCTCTTATAGAATTATAGAATTATTGCCGTCGGAACAAAAGTATGGAGGTGGAGGAAGGCAAGATAAGGAGTCTGCTATTTTCATAGCTGTGCGTTGGTGAGTGTTTGTTGTGCGTTCATTACCATTGCTGTTCGATATCAAGTGATTGTGAATGCTGTGTCGCTTTGCCTCTAGTATGATTGAATCGCTTTTAAAGTCTCTTTTGTACATTTTTTTACCAGACCCAATGTTGTCAATATGAAGTCTTTTTCTGTACTGTAATACTTATTAGCCTTTGTTAGAGAAAAGGTAATTGTAGAAAGTAGCCCTGAAATATTTATAGACCTCAAGAAAGCTAAGGACATTTTCTCTTTATATTGTAGGCTTTGCTTTTAGCAAATTTTGGAGTTTGGGTTTTGAAATCTTTAATAAGGATTTTATTACAAATTAAATAAATGAATCACATTAGATTTGTGAAATCCTACCAGAATCACTTTGCTTTGAGTTGGATTCTATTCTTATGTTTTTCTAAGCATTAGGTTTACTTTTCCTCATCCTAACTTAAGCAACTATTGCTAGAAGGTATGTGCCTATCTCAGATCTTGTTCCTTTAGCCCCTTGTCTCACCAGCAGGGAGAGCCAAGTTTCCTAACTGCTTAGAGTGGCCATAGAAGAGATCTATTGATACCTGACTTTTTGCTGACTCATTGGTTATATAAGCCTTGTACATAAAGCTATCCATACACCCTATTAGGTTATGGGCAGGTGCCCCTCTCCTTGTTTACTCACCTTTTCTTCTCTCAACATCCTTCTTCTCCTTCCTTTTAAGCCTTTTTTTAAGATGGTCTTAATGTTTCACCAAGTGAATTCTAAAATGCAGTGAATAGATAAATCTTTTTCTACTTCTCTTTAATTGCTATATTCTTTAATTAGATTTTTATCTTTATTATAATAAAATTCCAAATTCTCTGTTTTCTTGGCACATAAAACCTACAGTAATATGCTTTTCCTCACTTATGAGTTAACGTAACAACCTTTTTTTTTTTATCTTTGAGGGCTCAATTCAGATTCCCATGTTAAAACAAGCCTTCTGTGACCTCCCAGTCTAAAGTAGATTTCCCTTCCTTACATTATTCCTTTTCTCACAGCACTCAGTTCTTTTTCTTTACAGCATTTTTCTACAATTTATGTTGTGTCTGGTTTTTCTGCTTCTGCTCAGCCATAAGCCTCATGAAAGCAGAGACTTTGTTCTGTTCATCATTATATATCCACCTCTAGCAAAATGGCCGACTGAGGTTGAAGACAAGGAGGCAGTATTGCCTGTGCACTATGGTGAGAAGAAACAGGATGAGCACTGGGGGCTGACAAAATGCTATTGTGACCAGAGTGAAGGAAATCAGAGGAAGCATACTATAAGATGAAGTTCTAGAAAGGAGATCCAAGGCATAGCCACGTAGGACTTTATAAAGACCATGTTCAACTGGGCTCGGTGGCTCAGCCTGTAATCCCGCGCCTTTGGGAGGCTGAGGTGAGT